TCAAAACTCAAGGATTGTTATGTGGGCTTGGCGGTTTTTCTCGCAGACGTTTGACGACCCATCTACGCAACGGCGTCAGTGCTAGAAGGGAATTGGGTTTGTGGAGTGGAGGAAGAGGCGGCCTTGTGGGCAATGGTGAAATATGTATGTATGTATGTATGTATGTATGTATGTGTGTGTCACATACACATACATACATACATACATACATACATATGAATTTCACCATTGCCCACAAGGCCGCCTCTTCCTCCACTCCACAAACCCAATTCCCTTCTAGCACTGACGCCGTTGCGTAGATGGGTCGTCAAACGTCTGCGAGAAAAACCGCCAAGCCCACATAACAATACTTGACTTTTGAAGAGATGTAGGGGATTTTAGTGGTGTAAACAAGGGCCCGGAGGGGGTGGATGACAGTGGGGGACTCACCGGTGGGTTTCAGATATTCTTGGGCCGAACCCAAAATGACGTTGCAGTCCCGGTCAGTGCATAAGAAACAGCCCACCAAGGTCCGCCCGTCCGTCATACGAATCCGCAGGCTCTTGTTCAGGAGGTTCTCCAGCTTACGACGGGCCCGCAGGTACGGCGAGTCCGCCGTTTCTTCAACCGGCTCCTGCCAGAAACACCCAGAAAATATATCGTCAAAATCCAGGACAATATTGGACAAAAATTCAAATGTGGTTGGAGAAGACGAGGCAGCAACGTATCGAGTTCAACACTGAACTGTTCTTGTTGGGTCTCTTGCCAGAAATATGTAGTAAAGAAAATGTATACTTGATTATTCATGTATATAACGGCGGCTAGAACTGTATTTGCACAAAATTGGAAGGGTGAAGAGATCCCTAAAGGTGGGATTAAGAAAATATTAAAAATGTGCAGAAATGAATAGATTAACATTTGCAATTAAAGGAAAGGAAGAATCTGATTATGATCCTTTATGGGAATTATGTTATCAATGGTGAGAGAATAAATATGAAAATGAGGTTATAAAGTTAAATAAGTTAAGAGAAGTTAAATATTTAACTGAAGAAATGTTATAATAATAGATACGTTAAGTTTTAAGTATCAGTATTAAAATAAGAAGAGATATAAATAATGAATATGGTGATAAGCTTTAACTGTTATGACATTTTTTTTTACCCACCCTGCTTAACGAATGACGAAATGTTTGTATTAAAAGAACATAAATTTATTTTTAGAAGAAGAAAAACTTTAGAACTTTATTGCTTCTCAATTTTTCCAAAATGAGATCAAGCCGCTGGTCCTCATAGAGGCTGGGTGAGTTTAATATGATGCACCCAAGGCAGCATCCGGTGTTTTAAGAGCTGTCGTATGGATTGCTTTCCACCTAAGTATAGGTAGTCCTCAGCTTACGAGTCTTCTTAAAGATTTCCAGTGTTGGGACATTTACAACTTCTGGAGGCAATTTCTGTTCCACTGATTAATTGTTCTCACTGTCAGGAAATTTCTGCTCAGTTCTAAGTTGCTTCTCTCCTTGATTAGTTTCCACCCATTGCTTCTTGCTAGAAGCTCATTGTATAGAAAGCACCAGATGTGGGAAACCTGACTTAACTTAGGATGTGTGCTGTAACCTTCCTCATTATTGTTTTCCATATTTTACGGTGCTTCAGCCATCAGGTAAGAAGAACCTGTGCCATTCATGCCTGCAAAAAGCTTGAAAATAGG